TTCTCCCAGAATATCTCTGGTCAAGTTCATAGATCTGGAAGAAACTCTAGCCACAATTAAGTTTGGATCAAAGTTTTGGAACTGCACTTAGTACACCTCCTCATTTTATAGCATGAAGAAATTAAGACCCAGAGAAGTTAAGTGAATTGCCTTTTGGCACATAGGTAGTGAGTAGCAGAGAAACAATCCAGTGAACATATGTCTTTAAGTGCCTATAACATGCCAGACACTATGCTAGGTGCTGGGGATACAAATAATAAAAAGAGATAGTCTCTCCCCTCAGTGAACTTACAATCTAAAGACAGAGACAACACACAAAAAAAGGCAGGGAGAGGGAGGGTCAGGGGGTGAGAAGTAAGTGTGAGATGAGGGGGCACCAAGGGGTGCCCAGGGAATATCTTGTTCCGTGGAGTTGAAACCAGGCAGCACAGCAGTTGCAAAGTGGTTTTGTATTTACTTACTTACTTGCTCCAATAATCGCATTCTTTCAACTGCCTGCACCATGTTACCTTTTACTAGATGGTTTTGAAATTCCCTTTAAGCTTTTACATTTTTTTCGATCATTCTATAATGGTTTAAAAACTGTTAGGTCATGCATATCCTCTGGCTTATTTTGCTGTCAGCAAACATCATACGTTCAGGTTGCATACATGTAATGTGACATGGAATCAATTCCCTAGGCCACGTGAGGTGAAATTCAGTATGGAAGCAACATAGCTTGAAATCTAACATGAAATTTTTGGTAATAAGTGCAATGACGCAAGCATGTTGATATGTATAATTATGCAAATGATGCAAAATCACTTTCTTTGAGAACAGGCAAAGGTCCTGATGTCTATCTACACCCTTTAATTGATATTAATAGGCCTCTTTTTTGACAAACATCTTTAGTAATTGAACTGCTTCCAGTCCTGTGTATGATCCATGGAAACAGAAACCAACAGCTGCTGAAGAGCAGACTTCAGTTTCTTGCATCTAAGTCCATGAATGATTTTACAGATGGGAGGGTTGGGGTGTGTGTGTGTGTGATCAGGGTGAGGTGGGGGAAGGGTCACATATGTGATAGATAATTTAAAGGATATCCATTATGCTACTTATTGACGTAAAATTACTGACATATTTGGTTTTTTAATGATATTGGAATCATACAATTTCAAAGAATACAGAACATTAGAACATAAAAACATGAAATATTAGAATTGGAAAGGATCTGAGAACATAGAACATAGAATGTCACATCTCGAAGTGTCCTCAGAAGTTAACTAATCCAATACCTCCCATTATAAATAAGGAAACTAATGCCCTGAGAGTGAAAATGGCATCATATGGCTAATAATAGAGCAGTGATACAAACCCTAATGTTCTGACTTTAAATCTATGGCTAATATAAAAGGTTATGTGCATCTTTAAAATGAATGTTTACACAATACATAAACATGTATACTACAATACATATGTATGCATATACATGTATATACACATATTTATACATGTGTATAGACTTATCTATATGTTTATTTGAGTATAGCTATATGTCTATAGATTTACACACATATATACATACACAAATGCACACATATACACATGTGATTTCTTCTCACCAATCAATAAAACTATAAGATTAAGGCAATTCCCAGGAAAATGTCCTACCAGTAATGTGATGTTTTACATACAGACAACCGAATGATGACTTTTTCAATAGATGGTTTTCGGTCCAGAGAATGTGGGCCATGTAAGTTCTCTGTCTCATCTAGGCCCCTGTGGCCCAGAGCAACTTTGCAAGGAAGTTTTATAGTTTGTTATAGTCAAAAGAGTTTGGAGACTAAAGTTATGAGAGCTGGGTTCATGTTCCAGCTGTGCCACTTCCTGTCCATCGTCTTTGGCCAAATTACTTAAATTCTCTCTGCCTGACAATCTTCTTTTATAAAATGAGGAGGCTGGACTACACAACCTCCAGAAATCTATCTAGATCCCTATCTATGATCCTAAAATTACAGTGATGCATTCTAGGCAAAGACGCCTCGAGAATCATAGGAATCATAGGAAGAGTACTTGAAGACTGTTAAGTAACAGTGGTAGATGATGAGTAGATGGGGGCAAAAGCTAAACACTACTACTACTTCTACCACCACCACCACTACTACTACTGCTACTACTACTACTACTACTACTGATACTACTACATTGTTGTTCAGTTTTTCAGTTATATCCTACCTTTCATGAACTCACTTGGGATTTTCTTGGCAAAGACACTGGAGTAGTTTGCCATTTCCTTTTCCAGCTTATTATTTTTTTTGATATGAATTTATTTATTTTTGGTTTTCAATATTTACTTCCACAAGTTTTTGAGTTCCAAATTTCTCCCCTCCCCCACCCCAAGAAGGCATGCATTCTGAATACCCCTTCCCCTGGTCTGCCTTCTCTTCTATCTCTCCCCCTTCCCTTCTCTTATCCCCCCCTTCTATTTTTCTGTAGAGCAGGATAGACTTCTGTACCCCATTTCCTGTATTTCTTATTTCCCACTTGCATGTGAAAACATTTTTTTAAAACATGTGTTTTTAAAACTTTGAGTTCCAAATTTTCTCCCTTCCTCCCTCCCCACCCACCCTCATTGAAAAGGCAAGCAACTCAGTATAGATTGTACATGTGCAGTTATGCAAAACACTTCCTCAGTAGACATGTTGTGAAAAACTAACTCTATTTCCCTTAATCCTATCCTGCCCTCCCATTTATTCTATTCTTTCTTTTGACCCTGTCCCTCCTCAGAAGTATTTGCTTCTGATTACCCTCTTTCCCAATCTGCCCTCCTCTCTATCACCCCCTGCTCTCTTGTCCCCTTCTCCCCCTATTTTCCTGTAGGGTAAGACAGATTTCCATACCCAATTGAATGTGTATGTTATTCTCTCCTTAAGCCAAATCCTATGAGAATAAGATTCCTCATTCCCTCTCACCTTCCCCTGTTTCCCCTCCACTGTAAGAGACTTTTCTTTTCTGTTTTTTTTTGTGAGATAATTTACCCCATTCTACCTCTCCCTTTCTTCTTCTCCGAGTATCATCCTCTCTCATCCCTTAATTTTATTCTCCAGATATGACCCCTTAATCTTCAACTCACCCTGTGCCCTCTATCTATCTATATATACACACATACAATTTTTTTCCTTCAACTACCCTAATACTGACAAAGTTCTCATGAGTTACAAATATCATCTTTCCATGCAGGAATGTAAACAGTTCAATCTTAATAAATCTCTTATGATTTCTCTTTCCTGTTTACCTCTTCATGTTCCACTGGAGTCCTGTATTTGAAAGTCAAATTTTCTGTTTAGCTCTGGTCTTTTCATCAGGAATGCTTGAAAGTCCTCTATTTCACTGAATGACCATTTTTTCCCCTGAAGGATTATACTCAGTTTTGCTGGGTAGGTGATTCTTGGTTGTAATCCTATCTCCTTTGCCCTCCGGAATATTATATTCCATGCCCTGCGGTTCTTTAATGTAGAAGCTGCTAAATTGTGTTTCCACAGTACTTGAATTGTTTCCTTCTGGCAGCTTGTAATATTTTCTCCTTGACCTGGGAACTCTGGAATTTGGCTACAATATTCCTAGGAGTTTTCCTTTGGGGATCTCTTTCAGGAGGAGATCTGTGGATTCTTTCAATTTCTATTTTGCCCTCTGGTTCTATATATCAGGGCAGTTTTCCTTGATAATTTCTTGAAAGATGATGTCTAGGCTCTTTTTTTGATCATGGCTTTCAGATAGTCCAATAATTTTTAAATTCTCTCTCCTGGATCTATTTTCCAGGTCAGTTGTTTTTCCAATGAGATATTTCACATTGTTTTCTAATTTTTCATTCTTTTGGATTTGTTTTACAGTGTCTTGATTTCTCATAAAGTCACTAGCTTCCAATTGCTCTATTCTAATTTTTAAGGAAGTATTTTCTTCAGTAATCTTTTGGACTTCCTTTTCCATTTGGCCAATTTTTCTTTTTAGGGCATTTTTCTCCTCATTGGCTTTTTGGACCTCTTTTGCCATTTGGGTTAGGCTGTTTTTTAAGGTGTTATTTTCTTCAGTATTTTTTGGGTCTCCTTTAGCAAGCTGTTGACTTGTTTTTCATGATTTTCTTGCATCACTCTCATTTCTCTTCCCAGTTTTTCCTCTACTTCCCTTACTTGCTTCTCAAAATCCCTTTTGAGCTCTTCCAAGGCCTGGGACTGATTCATATTTTTCTTGGAGGCTTTGGATGTAGGAGCTTTGACTTTGTTGTCTTCTTCTGGTTGTATATTTTGATCTTCTTTTTCACCAAAGTAAGATAATATAGTCTGACTCTTTTTGCACTGCTTGCTCATGATCCCAGCCAATTACTTGAGTTTTAAACTCTTTGTTAAGGTAAGAGTCTGCTTCCAATGTGGAGAGTGTACTGTCCCAAGCTTCAGGGGTTTGTGTAGCTGTTTTCAGAGATACTTGTAGGGACCTGTAAATTTTCAGTTCTTCCAAGGTGGTATGATAAGGGGTGAGGTGTTTACTCCTTTCCTGGCCTGTGAGCACAGGTATTCCTTTCTGTCCTGTAACTGTGAGGAGGGGCTCCTCTCCACAGCCACTCCAAGCTCCACCACACCAGTGCTCCTCCTCACCCCAGCACTGCTGCCCAGAACTGTGACCCAGATCCACACACGGGCAAAGCAAAAGATTCCTGCCTCAGCACTGGCAAAGAGATTCCTGCAATCCCTCTCTGATCAGCCACTAGATTCCCCCTCAGTCTGTGGGCCAGAAGCTTGGGAAGCAGCTGCCCCACCCCCCCAGGGCCAGGCTCTTGGGGAATGGAGCTGAAACCCCGCCTTCCTCTCAGCACTGACATAAACAGAATTTTCCCACTAAACTTCTAAGTTGTCTTTGGCATTGGTGGATTGAGGAGTCTGGAAACCTCCACAGCTGTCTGCAATTCAGTCCTCTGAGGCCTGCTCCAGGTTTGCTGTGGCCTGTGTGCCCACACCGTGCTGCACTGCGCTCCCAGCCCAGCGGGATACACCTTTCTGATCAATCCTCCAGGTTGTTTTGGGCTGGAAATTTGTTTCACTCTGTCTTTTTGTGGGTTCTGCTGCTTCAGAATTTGTTTAGAGCCATATATTTTATGAGCATTTGGAGGGGTTTGGGGGAGAGCTCAAGCAAGTCACTGCTTTTACTCTGCCATCTTGGCTCCAGCTTATTTTTATAGATGATGAAACTGAGGTTAAAGAGGTTAAGTGACCTGTCCAGGGTCACATAGCTATTAATTATCTGAGGCTAGTTTTGAACTCATGAAGATATTTTCTAATTCTAAGCCCAGTAGTCTATCCACTTTGCTCTGCTACTGCTGCTGCTGCTCTTCTTCTTCTTCTTCTTCTTCTTCTTCTTTCTTCTTCTTCTTCTTCTTCTTCTTCTTCTTCTTCTTCTTCTTCTTCTTCTTCTTCTTCTTCTCTCCCTCTCTTCATACCAAAACAGTCCAAGGACAAGTTTCTATGCTTTTTTTTTGTTTAAAATTTTGAAAATTGTAGTTTGATCGTTGCCAGTCCTGTCTAATTCTTCATGACCCCATTTGGGGTTTTCTTGGCAAAGATACTGGAGTGGTTTGCCATTTCCTCCTCCAGCTCATTTTACAGATGAGGAAACTGAGGCAAAAAGAGTTAAGTGACTTGCCCAGGGTCCCACAACTAGTATCTGAGTCTGGATATGAATTCAAGAAAATGAGTCTTCCTGCCTGAAAACTGACACTCTATCCACTTGTCCCCCTACCAGCCCACTGAAGATTGTATAGGTATATAAAATGTGCAAAAATAATAAAATAGTGCAGGTTGTATTAATTGAAGAAAATATTGTGATTTAATTCTTCTACAGGCCAACCAAGGGAAGCTTTGGAATTGCCTCAGTAGCAGACATGATAACAAGGATTATAGGTACCTAGTTCTATTCTTATATGATTTCAATTTCTTATGTTCTCTCTGTTATGAAATCTTTTCATGCCATGTAGTTTGCAGACTAAGTTTTTAGTATGCCAATATCTATTATGATTATTTTTTATTCTAAGCCTTATTACTAGTCATAAGCTTAAATTATTAATTAATAACAATCCACTAAAGTGCTGTGTTGCCTCATCATGGCAGGGAGATCACCTTGGACTCGTCAAGCTATGCCAGTGAAGCATAAGCTCTTGCAGACCCTCATCATCCTGGAAAGGCTTTTCGTCATTTCAGAAGACAGACTGCATTTCTTGTGTCGTAGGCTGGCCACAGAGTAGTGGACTATTGGTCCTTAACAACTTTTGAAAATCATCTACTCCTTAAAGAGACATTGCAATCTTGGTAAGTGAAGAATACTTGCAAAAACATAAATTGTTGAAATATTGAAACCTAATGATATTAAAACTTTCAGATGAATCTTCCTAAACCACACATCTGACCATGTCATTCCCTCCCCCCACTCCTCTGCTATTCAATAAATTCCCATTGCTTTCTATTTCCTCTGAAGCAGTGGTGTGCTGATAAATGTTTAACGACTGGATCTCCAGAAGGGGGAAAAAGTACACCCTACACACTTTTAAGATTAATCTGCACTATTTACATTTTCTCCATCACTTCTGTAAGCCTAGATAATCAATAAAACTATAAATCAATCCCTGATTTGTAGCATTTGCTGATTTCTAAGACGCAAATGTTCACACTGAATATTTAACAGTCTGTTCTCAGAGTTTGAATTGGCTCCAGCAGACTCCTGTTCTACGATCAAATACAAAGTCCTCTCCTTGGAATATCCCTTCACAACTTTGTCCCCTCCTAACTTTCCAGTCTTTTTCCATCTTACTTCTTATTCCCACTCTCCAAGGTAGTACTCTATTTTGTGATCTAGTAACACTGACCTCCTTGCAGTTTTTCATCTGTAGGCTCCTTCACCCACACTCCAGGCATTTTCTCTGGCTGTTCCCCCCTGCCTGAAATGTTTTCCCTCTTCATCTCTACCTTCTGGCTTCCTTGGTTTCCTTCAAGCCCCACCTTATATGCCATCTTCTGAAGCCTTTTCTGATCCGCTTAGATGCTAATACCTCCCTTCTATTCATAATCAGCAATTTATCTTGCATACACAGTCAGTACAGAGCTGTATGTGTATTATCTCCCCACTCCGTGAGAGAAGGAACTATCTTTTGCCTTTCTGTCTATTTCCAATACCTAGCACAGTGCTTAGCACATAGAAGATAGATAATAAATACTCATTGCCTATTATATTTTTGTGATGCATTAACATTTACAAAGGTCTTTCCTAAGTTTCCTTTCCTGATGAACTCTAAGTTCCCTTACAGTTTTATATCTATGATCTTACCACCTCAGGAATTTTCCCTCCATCCCCCAAGCATAAACACCTTCGGATCATCTGGGTTTGCCTTTAAAATTTTAATTTGATTTATTTTTTTAATTTAAAATTGTATTTAATTTTTAAATTTTAATTTTAAAATGGAATTTTAAATGCCATTGTTTTTGGTTTCGTTTTTGCTTTTTGGTGAGGCAATTGGGGGTTATGTGACTTGTCCAGGGTCACACAGCTAGTAAGTATCAAGTATCTGAGGTCAGATTTGAACTCAGGTCCTCCTGACTCCAAGGCCGGAGCCTTGTCCACTGCACCACCTAGCTGCCCCTTAAATGCCATTTAAATGACATTCTCATAAGGACAATAAATCACAGAGAGTTAGAGCTTAAAGGGACCTTGAAGACCATATATATGTGTGTGTGTGTGTGTGTGTGTGTGTGTGTGTGTGTGTGTGTGTGTGTGTGTAATCATAGTTATCTCATCTTACATCTTTATTAAATTATTTACCAATAATTTAAAATTTATTAATTATACTTTCATATTAATATAATATATTAATTTATTATTTTGAAGGTGGTATAAGTTACTAAGTACTTTAAATGCAATAGATAATTTTATAACTAATCTTGGAGGTTACAGGGAACCCTAGAATTTGTAGAGTAGGGGCATTGAAATGGTCATACCTACTGTTTAGGAAGATTATTTTGACAGCTGATTGGATGATGGACTGGCAGAACATGCAACAGGTTGCTGCAATAACCTATGCATGAGGTGCTGTACCAGGATGGTGGCAATGTAAGAGGAGAGAAATGGATATTTGCAAAAAGATCTTGTGAAGGTAAATCGATAGGCCTTGGCAACAACATATCGGTCAAATCCTTTAGGTACTTGCTACAGCTGTCCAGAAGACAGAGGTCATTTTAAAGGACATGACAAGGGAGGGGACAGGAAAATGCCCATTCTGTCTGTCATTTGGCAAAACTAAAAGAAATGCTGGGGTGAGTTTGGAGCCAGATATTAAAGGCTTTAAATGCTAAATACAAGAATTTATATTTGACCCTTAGGCAATTGAGAGCCATTGGAGTTTATTAAGCTTGTGACATAGTTAAACAAGAAGCTATGAAAAAATCACTTTGGCAACAGCATGAAGGATGGTTTGGAGCCAGGGATGCCAATGAAGAGGCTATTGCAATAGTGAAAAGAAGTAATGAGGGCCTGAACTAGGGTAGCCCATATGGGAGAAGAGAATAGGAGACTGATGCCAGAGGTGTTGTGAGCAAGTTAATTATAAACTTGAACCAAGAATCCTAGACCTTAGTGAACCCATTCTGGTCCAAGACTTCTCTACAGATATCTAGAGGTCTACACACACACACACACACACACACACACACACACACACACACACACACACACACGCACTCACGCACATGCACACATACCTTCACTTTCCCCAATTCCTTACCCTTCTTATGTCAGTATTTTCTTCTTTCCACTTGATTCTTTCTTGGATTAGGGGGCTCCTGACTCAGGATGTGGTCCTGGATCTCCCCTGCCCTCAAACTATATCCCCACCTGAGATGGCAGGAAATAGAAAGCCAGAAAAACAAATAAAACAGGATTTAGAGCTTCCAGAGATGTTAGAGGTCTCTTAGTTAAGCTCTCATTTTACACAGGAGGAAGGTGAATGCTAACTTAGTAGACAGGGTGCTAGACTTGGGATCAGGAAGACCTGACTTCACATCTTGCTTCACACACTGACTAGTTCTATGATCTTGGGCAAGCCTCAGTTTCCTCAGCTCAAAATGGGGATAAAAATAGCACCTACTTCATAGCATTGTTGTGAGGATCAGGATTAGAATATCTGTATTCGGTAAACCTTAAAGTGCTGTATAAATGTTAGCTCAAGCTGAGAGTCATATGAGTTGCCTAAAGTTGTTTAGCTAAAGAGGAGAAGAGCTAGGATTGAATCAGACTACAAATTTAGCTGCCAGGACAATTGCTTCTTCTCTGGCCTGTGGCAAAAGTGAAAACAACAATCACCAGAAGGAACATTTATATAACACGTTAACATCATTCTGTTCCATGCTCACAACACTTTAATGGCAAAGGTGGTCTAGTATCTATTACCCCACTTTACTGATGAGAAAACTGAGATTCATTTTTAATTTTTTTTTTTTTTGCCTTTTGGTGAGGCAATCAGGGTTAGGTGACTTGCTGAAGGTCACACAGCTAGTAAGTGTCATGTGCTTGGAGTTGGATTTGAAATTAGGTTTTCCTGGCTCTAAGGCCAGAGCTTATCCACTGTGCAACTTAGCTGCCCCTGAAAACTGACATTCAGAGAGATTAAATGATTTATCCATGATCAAATAGCTAGTAAATAACAAAGGTAGGATTCAAACCTGAGTCTTTTCAAACTCTAGAGCTAGCACTGTTTGACATAAACTAATCTGGGCCGGTGTAGTCTAGGGAAGCAGAGACCTGGAGTCAAGCACAACCAGGAAACTATATTCCAATTCCCATGGAGCAACAGTATCATGTAAAGAGATAATCACTTCTTCCTGTTGTAAAACAATGGAATTGGACTAGAGATCATTGTTTTAGAGCTAGAAGATACCTCAAAGGGCATCTAGCCCAACCTGCTCATGCTATAGATGAGGAAAGTAAGACCTGATCTCGTTAAGCAATTTGCCCGATGTTATACAAAGTAAATATCAGAAGGACTATTTAAACTCAGCTAGGTCTTCCGACAGCAGAACCAGCGTTATTTCCACTGTACAACAGCGCCTCCTTTTTTTTTTTTTTGGTTAGGCAATGGGATTAAGTGACTTGCCCAGAGTCACACAGCTAGTAAGTATTATGTGTCTGAGGTCGGATTTGAACTCAGGTCCTCCTGAATCCAGGGCCAGTGCTCTATCCATTGCGCTACCTAGCTGCCCCACAACAGTGCCTCCTTAAATATATTTCCATTTCTAACATTTATATACTTGAATCTGAAATTCTGAGGTTTCTTATACCTGTTACATTCCATGTCTGAAGCCCTTTCAAAGGCTAACATATTATGTTTTAAGGACTCCTTCAGCTCTAATGAACTATGAAAATAAGGGATAAGATTAGAGTCTATATATAAAGAAGTAGATAGAATTCCTCAAGCCAATCACTAAAATCCATTCATCTATGTTCAGTCCTTATAGTTTTTGCTTATATAGCATTTTTACTAGCTCCTAAATTGAAAAGGAGAAAGAAATAGAGGTAATGTAGGCCCCCAGCCTTATGGTACATTGAAAGGACCATTTAGCATAGGATTGGGAGAACTCTGTTTTTAAAGATATATGACATTAGACTGCACCTTGCTTTTTTTCCTCTGTAAAATAAGTAAAGTTGAGGCAGTCAAGGAACAGGAACATCACGGTTTAGTGGACAGAGGAGTGTTTATTGAGTCAGAGAATGTGGATTCAAATCCCATTTCTGCTACTTACCTTTTGTTATTCTGACACATCTCTGTGCCTTTATTTTCACATCTGTAAAACAACATTCAATATGGTGATCTCTCAGGCCTTTCCATTTCTAAAAAATCATGAAACTATGATTCTTAGGAATAGTTATGATCACAGTATCCATTGCATATTACATTATAGTGCTTTATAACAGGATTTTTTTTAGAATGTGGCTTATTGTTTTTGTAGTTTGTTTTTATGCTGAAAGGGTGTGTAGCAATGTATTTACTGCTAGGGATGTTGTTCTGGGCTGGGCCTGACTCAGGCTAATCCCTTAGTAATTTAGGTTCAATGCTAGGATGAAATAGGATGCTCATAGGTCATTTAATAGTTAACAAACAGATTTATAACCACACCACAGGCTATTATATGGTTATATATTCAACAAGGATAAGAATTGAAGATATCTTCAGTTGATACAGCACAGTGAATCTCCCTTGCCTGAGCTGCCCATCTTGATCCACCAGCTATGTATCAGACAGACTCTCTTTAGCTCCTTATAGCTGTTTTGTACTTAGGTGACCAAGAAATAGTGTCAACCAGAGCCTCTAGTCCCCTGAGCCAACTAAGTCTTGCGGATGATCTCAGTGTCTCTTAAAGAGAATGGGCTTAATACCTCACTATCTATGTCACATAGGATAAATTCTACCCTAGCTCACATGGGGATGAAG